ATGCCATTAACAATTCGTATTACCTTTGTGCAAATGATGGAGGCGAAGTCTCCAAACCCCTCCCTTCCCCAAATTTCACCAGTGTTTTATGGCCAAAATAACATTTAAGTTTTCATGAATTTTTACAATATAGCCAGTGGAATCTAGTGGAAACAGTTTGATCATCCTCACACGGGTTTGAAAATCACGGATCCAGTTTAAGCACTGCATTAGCCCAATCCTGATTCGTCCAAATAATCAATGATGAAAACTCAAAACCAGGAGCTACTGCTGCTCATAATCACATAATTCTACATGAGCCTTGACAGATTCTCGCAGTTTAATCTGTCCACAAGAATCTGTCCACGAGAGATTAAAGGGTGTGAATACTTTATCAAGGCACCTTTTTTAATGGTTATTTATAGCGCCATACACGATCCATTTAGCAACTTTTGAGTGTGGCTCTTTATAGAACCTCCCAATTCTTTTTCATATAGCACCAAAAAGTGTTCCGCTATGGTTACAAGCAAAATAGCCCTTATTTGGCATTATATATAATCACTTGTTTTTAGTGTGTACTGGCTTGCACCTCCTATAGGCTGAACGAACATATGACATGTTCTGTTGCAGCTTCAACATGGCTGGGAAGAGAGGGGGTGCAGTGAAACAGGCCCATACCTTTGTCCATGTCATTCATCTAAAGCCAACTTTACCATTTACTCATTAAGAAAATGAATCTAAATGATACAGGGGCTCTCCTAACCCTAAAAAAGACACAGTCCTTGTACATTATAATTCATTTCAGAAATGCACTTAATATAAGGTCACATCAAAGATAAAATATCAACCACAGGAGGCTGCTGAGGGGAGAACGGATCATAGTAATGGTCGGAATGGAGCAAATAGAATGACATCAAACACCTGGAAACCATGGAAACCATGTGTTTGATGTATTTGATACCATTCCACTAATTCCGCTCCAGCCATTACCACGAGCCCGTTCTCCCCAATTACGGCGCCAACCTCCTGGGATGTCAACTTATCATTAAATACTGCTTTTGAACAGGACGTAGTTACTCTTTAGCTATTGATACCATTGCTTCAACTGATATCAATAGCATTAGGCCAATTGTTTTGAGATAGAAGGTCCATTGTTGACTGTGTCTCCAATAGACCTATACAGCAATTCTCATTGTACATCGTACTGGAAAACTATCATTCAAAACACGTCGAGCCACAGAGTGTTTGTCTATTGGTAATATGAGTGATGTATTTCTAACTCATTTTGAGAATCGATAAAATTATTTTATTACATTTACTGGTGATTTCCATGTACAGTGGGGAGAACAAGTATTTGATACACTGCCGATTTTGCAGGTTTTCCTACTTACAAAGCATGTAGAGGTCTGTAACTTTTATCATAGGTACACTTCAACTGTGAGAGGCGGAATCTAAAACAAAAATCCAGTAAATCACATTGTATGATTTTTAAGTAATTAATTTGCATTTTATTGCGTGACATAAGTATTTGATCACCTACCAACCAGTAAGAATTCCGGCTCTCACAGACCTGTTAGTTTTTCTTTAAGAAGCCCTCCTGTTCTCCACTCATTACCTGTATTAACTGCACCTGTTTGAACTCATTACCTGTATAAAAGACACCTGTCCACACACTCAATCAAACAGACTCCAACCTCTCCACAATGGCCAAGACCAGAGAGCTATGTAAGGACATCAGGGTTAAAATTGTAGACCTGCACAAGGCTGGGATGGGCTACAGGACAATAGGCAAGCAGCTTGGTGAAAAGGCAACAACTGTTGGCGCAATTATTAGAAAATGGAAGAAGTTCAAGATGACGGTCAATCACCCTCGGTCTGGGGCTCCATGCAAGATCTCACCTTGTGGGGCATCAATGATCATGAGGAAGGTGAGGGATCAGCCTAGAACTACACGGCAGGACCTGGTCAATGACCTGAACAGAGCTGGGACCACAGTCTCAAAGAAAACCATTAGTAACACACTACGCCGTCATGGATTAAAATCCTGCAGCGCACGCAAGGTCCCCCTGCTCAAGCCAGCGCATGTCCAGGCCCGTCTGAAGTTTGCCAATGACCATCTGGATGATCCAGAGGAGGAATGGGAGAAGGTCATGTGGTCTGATGAGACAAAAATATAGCTTTTTGGTCTAAACTCCACTCACCGTGTTTGGAGGAAGAAGAAGGATGAGTACAACCCCAAGAACACCATCCCAACCGTGAAGCATGGACGTGGAAACATCATTCTTTGGGGATGCTTTTCTGCAAAGGGGACAGGACGACTGCACTGTATTGAGGGGAGGATGGAAGGGGCCATGTATCGCGAGATCTTGGCCAACAACCTCCTTACCTCAGTAAGAGCATTGAAGATGGGTCGTGGCTGGGTCTTCCAGCAAGACAACGACCCGAAACACATTTGTTAACAGTACTCAAAAACATTAAGTGATAAGAAATATTATTGACATCTGAGTTAGTACAACTTTTATGATTTGAGTTCTACTGACTGTTGGAGATGTTTGAGTAGCCACTACTCAATTACTTTAATGAGTTAGGCAGTTGGTTTTTTATAGTGTAGTCTAATGGGTATTGGCACAATAATAATCAATAGTGTGCCATTCATCTCAAATGTTTTGAGGGTATAGTCTTGTCTGTAGCCTACACTGTAAATGGGGTTACCGTGATTTTGACAGTAGCATCACAGGCAGCTAGGTGGCAAGTAAAATTCTGCATTTCATATTACACCTACTGTAATATCAATAGGGTATAAGTACTCTGTAATGACACACTACAATTCAATAAAATTATAATGTAAAAAAAAGTAAAGGCTACGGTAATTGGAATGAATGAAATTCATTGAGGGGAGGGGTTTGTATTTCACAGTATTTTACTGTAATTACAAGGGATTGGTGCAAGCAGGTTGGCTGCTAGATAAAGTGTTTACAAACATTACAACATATTTAAGCAATAAGGCCAGAGGGGGTGTGGTATATGGCCAATATACCATGGCTAAGGGCTGTTCTTATGCACGACGCAACAAGTGCCTGGATACAGCCCTTAGCCGTGGTATATTGGCCATATACCACAAACTCCCAAGGTGCCTTATTGCTATTATAAACTGGTTACCAGTGTAATTAGAGCAGTAACAATTTATGTTTTGTCATACCCATGGTATATGGTCTGATATACCAATCAGCATTCAGGGCTTGAACCACCCAGTTTATAATAACTTCTAGAGACCTTAACAAAGGCTTCTAAACTGGCAGCGACTACAGAGCAAAACAGACCAAAAGAACATGGCAAAATGCTCAACCATTTAAGGTTTAAGGTTTAAGACTTGCTGCCACTCCAATCTTTCCCCCATACATTTTAAATTGGTGGGGCACGATAACAACATAGGAGTTAAGTTGGTACAGCATTCTCACTCAAGGGTGCAACAAATATAGCCTCTGACAAGGCATGTCTCAAAATATGTTATTGAGCCAGAAACAACTATACCATGCACCCACTAGTGGTCAAAAGGTTTTGGGCACTCCAAAAATACGGTATGGTACTGTATTCTGTGGGGTGGAATTACAGTAGTATTCGAAATACAGCAATTAGTTTAGTTGCTCGGTGTAGTGTAGAGGACAGACAGTAGTCTAGCCCATGCATGCTCAGTCATTTAGTCATTCAGTCAACAAGTTCTTACAGCCAAGAAGAGGAACGATTGTGAGCCATCATGTTTATTCATCTTTTTATGTCAACAACAATGGCGGGGACACACAATTCCGTCGTTCACATGAGAAACACCAGCAAACGAGCATATTAACATCAAGAATATAACAAGACGTACATAAAGATTATATTCAGTGCAAAAAAACTACGCTATTGTCACCAGCACATTAAAATAACACTCCTTACTTCTTAAAATCCTTGCAATTGCAGCAGGTATTATTATCATACACAGTCATGTGCGTTTTCTATAGGCAGTTTTAGTTGTTGGGGAAAATATAGGTTTTCATCTAAACATAGCAGTGCCATTATTATTGAATACAAATTAAGTAAAAGGCAAAGCTCTGTTTTAGTAGGTAGTGCCGTGGTACAATCTCGAACACCAAATCGTTTAATTGGCTTTGAGCTAACTGTGTCTTCCTAAGACTCACAAATTGTCTTAAACAAGCACAGGTATATCATGGGCAAACGATATATAATTTAATCATATAACGTTGATATAACACTATGAAAACAATATCATATGAAATCTCTATTTAGAAATCTCTATTGCAATTTTCCCAGGTTTAGGTAGCATGTCCCTGGTAATTCTAAGTTAGAACTACATTTTCTTATCTTGGCCATTCACCACAAATGAGAATGAAGTATAATAAAAATAAAAATAAAATCATAACTTGTGTTTTACATATGGGCCTGCTGCTAATCAATGTTAACATTTAACATTACTTTTAATTACGTTTTGCTTACGATTTTAAATCACACAAAATGTCGCAAAGATGTCTAAAGATGTCTATTGTGAATTTGTTGTGTATTTACAAGATTAGATTGGCATTGGTCAAGGTTTGTTGGACCTTGCGCTGTCTTCCTATATGCATTTGTTTGGTTATGCTTTTGTCAGATAAAACAAACAAAAAATATTCTAAAAGTAGCCTAGCCTACTCTATTAAACATGCGTTTAAATTAACCCATACAAAGAATACCCATGTGCTACCATTACCTTTCCTAAATGTAATATTATTATAAGGAAACGTCCAAAACTACAAAATAACTAATTTGTATCCGTAACGCATCGTGAGGAGGGAGAAATAGATAAATGATTATGCTAGCAATATCTGTGAGATCTTTATTCCCTTTCCCTTGTTGACTAATAAAACTGTGGCCATAAAGTTGACGCTCTCTGCCTTCTTCTCTCCTCTCACCGTCTACTATATGGGACCTATTTTTTCTATTTTGCTGCCATATAACCATAAATGACAATAAAATCACTCCTTGGTCTACTCTTTCTCTTTCTCTTCCGCTTCTTTCTCTTCCCCCTCTTCCCCGTCACCGTCCTCGTTGCCCTCCTCCTCCACCTCAGCCTCGGCATCAGCATCCGCCTCAGCCTCGGCATCAGCATCCGCCTCCCCTCTTTGACCCGGAAACTTGTCTTTGTTGTTTTCTTTTTTCCACTTCATTCGCCGGTTTTGAAACCATATCTTGACCTGCCTCTCGGTGAGACTCAGGGCATGGGACACCTCGATCCGCCGCTTGCGTGTAAGGTAAGGGTTGAAGAGAAACTCCTTCTCCAGTTCCAGAGTTTGGTAGCGACTGTAGGTTTGCCTTCCATTTCGCCTCCCTGGTGCTTAAATGAAATAGTAAATAAGGTTAGCTTATGTCTTATATATTTGTTTTAACATATTCTTACTATGCCTAGAAATAGGGCGATTACTTTGTAGAATAAATGAGATACTCTTCGTGCAGTAAGATAAAGGGGCATACAATAATAGCTATGATGGTTTGTATTTGGAATCCGTTAAGCTTTGAGCTACTTTCCATTGAAATTTGCATGAGCTAGAAAGTACAACCTAACATTTACTTTTTCAATGATGTAACAGGTAACTGCGTGCACACACACACACACGCGCGCGCACTCACGCACACACACACACACACACACACCTCACACACACAATGGATACACGTTCTTCTGCAGATTGTGGAGGGAAGTATATTTAGGCCTAAAACATTTATCTAAGATCACATTAAAACAATCTAAACGATATAGTCCATAAGGTTTCATTCTAAACTCTATAACTCCCACTAGCCCATTAGCTTGGTTTAGGGTAAGGAAATGTGAACGGGATGAATATCACGTAGAATAGTAATGTTAGAAGCATTACAAAGTACCTAATATTTGTTTTAAAAGACGTTTATTGTTACTTTAATAATTTGGTCATATTGGCCATAAAATTGTTGGGCATTCTGGTTAGAAGGTTTCTGTTTTATTTAGGATGTACTTAGTTGTACTTCAGGTACTTCAAATAACCATTGTTTAAACTGGATGTCTTTTTTTTTTGGTCATTTCAGATTTTCTCCAGCAAAACAAAATCTTTATCACCAAAACCTCCCTCAAGTTGGCCAGCATTGGTTTTTAATTATTTGGGGATTATTACATGAGAACTCGGTTGTTTGTAAGAAGGTTATATGTTTATGTTATACCTTATGAGATTACAGTACTAATGTTGTGTATACTTGGGAGAGCTATAGATAGGCCTAATCCATTAACTTTGGGTGAAATGTATATTTGTTGCACAAAAATGTAATAAATAAATAGATACATCCTCCATTCCTTATTACATATTTTGCTTTTAGGCACGTAGGTTACACACACACACACACACACACACACACACACACACACACACACACACACACACACACACACACATAAATACACACATTTATAGCTAAGGAAAAAAAGAACACAAAATAATTCTAACCGTGGGGTCTCATCCAAGGAAACATAAGAGTGGGAGACGAGTTCTGATTTAAATGGCCTTGTCCTTCTCCGGGGTTAGAGCCGTTAGACGATTTACAGTCTGGGTATTGCGCGAGGCTTGCCTCTTGCTGGGTACCATAAAGCGGTTGTCTCGGAAGAGCTTCATATCCATAAAATTTCGTTGCGTCTCCATGGCAAGCCAGCGCGCAGGGGTTCTGTTGGTATGCAGGGTTGGAGATCCCCGTGGTCCCAGGGTGGAAAAAATCCTGGACATGATGGGACGGCTGTTGAAAGCCCGATGCAGCTGCCCCGGGTCCGTAGACCAGCGTGTGGCTACGGGCAACGCTTTGTGGGAACCTGCAGTCGTAGTAAGTTGGCTCCAGCGATTCACAGCCTTTGTATTTGGAGAAAAGAGGGTTAACAAAATATGAGCTCATTGTTTAGTTTGCATTAAACAACAGACGAGGTTTCTTCGTTGTAGAATATCCCCCTTTTGGATTGTGGCAGCCTTTTGTTTAGGTTCCCAGTCGCACACAGCGCAGACTGACAAACCGGAACTAGATGGAGAAACTCTGCCCCTTTGGACAGTCTCAGGCAGCTCTCTCGCGCTCCAACACTCTTTTCATCGAGTCTCTCTCACTATCTCCAGTATCTTCTCTTTTTCAGCCTCAAATCCGGCTCATGGCGTGTGCTTTGGATGTGTTGATGTTCAAGCTGGCATGCTCCGCCGACACAGTCACAAGCACTTCTCTTTCCTTTTCTCTTTTTTTTTGCTTCCCACCCAACCACCCCCACCACAATCCCCCCTCCCAACACCCATCCCCCCCCCCCCCCCCCCCGGTCAGCGTGTAGGCTACATACCCCTTAAGAGGCAACCTGCGCTAACCATTATATTAGATAAAGGAGTTCAATATGATGCATATGATGTGAAAATTGTCAACTCTCAAAATATCATTATGGCCAGATTACTCTTGCACGGTGCTTACATGATACATAGAAGTACACACATATAGCCTAACGAATACAATAAAAAGGCTTTGTTCATAAAGTCCTCAAGTGCACCCTCATGTTATATAGTTTAAGAGCCATTTCTTATATCAACTAATGGTTTAAATGGGATGCTGTTAGTTGTTAGCCTAGCCTACCATAGATACTTAGCCTACACAATAGCACTGCTTGCGGGCCCACTATACTGCCTGCTATTATGACAGGGTAACACAAAATATAAGCCTATATAACTTTAAAAACGAGTAGGCCAGGCCTAGCATATACAAAATGCTAAGGCTATAATGATAATGGCATACAATAATTAGGCTATAATGGCATATTTAACAAGATCACAAAATATCAAAATGTCTAACCCTTGTTCCTCAACATTAGCCCATGCTAAGTGTTCATACTTGAGTTATATATAGGCCTAAGCGATTTCCCATGTCCCTCCCGCACTTAAAATACAGAAGGCCGTGAAACACCCTTACCCGCAAATATAAACACGACCTGTTGTGAATACCCGACTCACTGTACTGACCCTGTTAAACCTATGAGCAGATGTAATAAATATGCCGCTTGCAGTTAGTAACATTTTACATTACATTAGATGTCTCGTTACTTCTGCGTACATATTGCTGGCTCAATGTTTATTTCAGTTGTGTCTAGTGTAGTTGCAGCAAGGTCTCTCCCTGAATGCGCTCATGTGGGTTTTGTGGTGTTACTGACGATTTTTACACATGATCGTAAAATATGAAAGGCACACATATAAAATTTATAGACTTGTCGTACAGTCTATAAATATGCTGATTTCTGGTCTTTGTTGCAAATTACCGTCGTGGAAATTTGAGCTGCTGTTACAGACATATTTCAACAACAAAAACACTGAAAATAACTATAATAACATCACTACACTAGGCTACTATTATAATACTGCTTCTGATGTAGGCCTATAATTGCTAATAATAACATTATTATTACAATAACTATTAGTCTAGTATTATCATATTATCATTATTATTATTAGGATCTTGTATTCATGTTAGTATTTTTATTAGGGGTAATTGATTATTGAAGACTTTAGTGTTATTTGTCAATACATTGAAAAAAATTACTTTCTCTATTTGTTCATTTTACTTATTTGAAGAAGTTTTCTTCTTACATTGGTTTGAAACGGAAATGTGTCATATTCCTTAAGTATTCCGGTGGCTAATACAGGTTTATGGTCCACGGTCCATGCCTCTCCATAGGAAAACTAGGCCACACCACTGCTGTAAAAACAGTGGTAAGGTAGTGATTTAAATTGCGCTTAACTTGAAAAGTGAGATGTTTTCAAATGTTAGTCCAAATGTTAATTGAGCATCAATGTTGGTGCAGATATACAGAATCAACCTAATCGATTTGCTAGCAGTTGCTAACAGTTTATAATCATGCATAATGGAGCCATAACATGTATACAAACCAGCTTTAGTGTGTTTAAAAACATTAGGCTAATGTTCTACTAATGTAAAGGTCAAAATGTGGAAATTGAACTTTTAGGTAAAGGAATGTGCAAATGAAAAATAGACCTATCCTACAAATATTCTACAATTATTAGGCTATACCCAACCCACAAGCGCATGAAAGGTTCAACAGGCATGACCTATGTCTCCTGTACCCAGTCCTACAAGTGAGACAGTCAATTATATCACAACATATTTTCTTTAAAATGTGATGAATGACCGAAGCAGCATTTCTTTCATCAGTAGACCTACAGGCATAGGCCTAGCCTACTCCCTATTTCTGCACCACGCAAGTCCACAGCACGGAGGCACGAGCAGTACAGGCCCAAAGAGTCGGTCAACAGCGTCATCTAGTGTTAAAGTCGATCACCAACGTTCAACTGCGCCATGGATGGTTTTATCAAATCGATATTATTTTACATGAGGAAAGAAAATGCAGTTGCAGACATAACAAATGTGATGAAAATGTGTTTCAGGATCCGTCAAATAAACTATATCAATAGGCTTCCTACATTTAGCTTTTATTTCAGTAGACTCAGAATATTTGTTGGTCTTCATGAAACTCTCCTATGTGTTGTCTTCTAACCAGTATAGTTACATGGACATTGGCGTTCCTTTCTTCTTGCGGTCATATAGCCTAGGCCTACTCTGACCTGCTCAGAGAGAGCTGCCCTTGGGGGAAGGCAGCAGCATGTTTGCGGTGGGCACAACAGACAAACTAGCTGTAGCAAGCCTCCTTTGAACGAGTCCACCATCACCCACCATTAAAACCATAAAGTAATTTAGCCCAGACGTCTAGCCAGTTAGTCGGGTTTGCTTTGTTCGTCTGCATTTGAGACAAACAACCGAGCTCCAGCAGGGCTGTAAACGCAGCATTTTTGTCCTGTGCGGAAATGAATTGGATTGGGCTTTGAAATTACAGCATCCTGTCCGTATTGTTCGACACCACAAAAAGGCAATTTAGGCCAAGACCCAGTAAACAAATGCCAGACATTGGAATTTATTTTCACGTGAGAACATTTTAATTTCGTTACCTTTCAAAATAGGCCCAATGGCTCGAAATGTGTTTCGAAATGTAATTTAGTTGAGGTATTTTAATTCGTTTTTATTTTATTTATTTTTTCTTATAAGCAAGTTGACTGAAATAAGGTTTAGGCTATAGCGTTAATCCGGGATCTCAGTCCCACGATTATTACAGGCCTTAAACTTTTCCCGTAGCTTTACCCACACGTAACGTTATAGGGCCTTATTCAGTTTAGAAAATGTGCCAAATTGTTAAAGGTTAAAGAGCTAATAATATCTTAATCAGCAGCTGTTACTATTCCTGCTTTGAAAAATTATTGCAAGTGACACAGATACGATAGGTATGTGACAACATACAGGTTTATTGGTCAAATTCACAAGTCTGCCGTTTTTATCACGAAATATATGTACATTTATTTTCCAATTTTCCAGACGGTTTCTAATTTGTTCTATAAAACATTTGACTACTATATGTCTTGGATGTTTACAATTAGGCCAACATGTGCTTTAAATGTGGTTATTTGTGGATACTTGTGGTGGCCTGTGCATACCTAGTGGACTGGTAAACTTAAATGAATGCATTAAAATATAATTTGTGTCACAACACCATATAAAACGAGTACACAAAAGTTTCGTTAAATCATATTTAGTTACATCATTGTGGTATTGGCCTAGTTATATAGGCCTACCCGAAAAAATCACCCACTTGCAGGCGCACTTGGTAGCCCTAAGAGTCTGCCTAGCCTGGAAATGCTAACAGACGATTAGGAAACGTTCCATCTGCTTCCAATATTCCACGTGCGGGGAAATTGGGCTATTTGATTTATTAAAGGTGTTTCTCTCCAGATGAACAGAAATCCGGTTTGTGTGCATTTGTGTTGACATCATTAATATACTGGCTAGGTCTATTTGACGCGCCCCAAATGTGTGCCTTACGTTGTAAGATGTTATGCATTTCTACGTCTGTTTTGTTTAGAGACATTGCTTGAAAAGAAATACAGAAAACACAAGAGTCTCATGAGAATGTTTATATTTGAGTAGGCCTATATCTACACTTTCTATAATGAATGGCACGTGTCTATACAATCAAAATAATATGAAATGCACAAATAGGTACACCGAAGGCATACGTTACCACATATACACAAGACAGACATACATTTGTTAAGACGGCAGATGTTCTATTTCTGTACAAAATATGTTACAACACCTGCATAAAATTCACAAGAAACAAACATGTAAGAAATATTCGCACGGACATTTTCACATTTACATCATTTAGCAGACGCTCTTATCCAGAGCGTTTATGGAGTGAAGAAATTAAAATAATTCCAGTGTTCCATTCCTTATACTTCGGGGCAGTTATACATTTGTTCAAAATATGTTTAATTAAAATGTCCCTTATGTAAATAAACACATAGGCCTACAGGTATCTTCATAAGTGCAGAATATTTTCTTTCCTTACAAGTGGGTTATTTTAAACCTGGACAAAGAAAGGTGCACGTGGAGATTTTTTTTTTGCATCAAACATGGAAGGTGGGGTTAATACAAAAACAAAAAACAAAATAACATCCAACACAAAATCCAACATTAAGAAGGGGCCGTCATGTATTTTTGTTTATCTTTGTTGTTGTCCATGGCAGTAGTGGTTATTTTACTGTTGTCTGATTCTTGTTTTTGTCCATTGTCGTTGTTGTAACCATTCCTTTATTATTGTTCTTTGTTGCTGTCGGTTTTTTCCTTGTTCATTTTCTTCATCTTCATCCGCCGGTTCTGGAACCAGATTTTGACCTGCCTCTCCGTGAGGTTGAGGACGCTTGCCACCTCGTATCGACGGTCTCTGGTTAGGTACATATTGAACAAAAACTCCTTTTCGAGTTCGAGAGTCTGGTACTTTGAATAAGGGCACCGCTTCTTCCTTGTTGAACGCGCGTGAATCCAGTTTGCCACTGGGTTATCTGCAAATCAACACATCAAAACAGATAACATTTGATCAGTCAGCAATAATATCAAACTTGAAGCAATGACACATGATAATGCCCTATAGCCTTGTCCTTTTGGGTCTCCAAAAGCTAGGCTAGATCTCAGAGGTACTGTGGTGGTTCCTCAAATGTATGAGTAAATATAATGCAATAGGAAACAAACGTCAAATAATCTTTTAACTTTACAACATTTAGTGATGCTCTTCCAGCTTTTCCCTTTCTTGGACTTCTGAGAAATGCCATCGTAAAATACTCAATGCCTATTCGCTTTATAGGCCCATAAAAACGGCTGCCGGATCAAGCCTTTACATGTCAGCGAAAGTCCCTAGAATATGTTGCAAACATTCCTCAACGTGTTTGGAGTTATATCTACATTTGGTTTGGAATGGAAAAATATTATGTAGGATGACAACAGACAACATACACTTACGCTACACCGCTAGTTCATGTGTTGCCATGCTAGTGTAGTTCCTTATCATGGTTTCTCTTTGGTGTTTTTCCTGGGAGGATCCAGTTTTACTGGAAATACTTGACATAGCAACATAATATCTCTTCAAAATATAATTGGAGAGTATTTACTAGTAGACTATGGGGGATATAGTAGCATAGTCTACTAGCGTCGTAAAATAGTAGCATAAACCATGGTGGCCATACAAAAATTGATCATAATGATTGTTCAAATTGACAGAGTCCCAATTCTTGCGTAAAAAGTATTTGGCATTTAAAACACCAAAACAGATTTGCTGAGATGCGGGTATGTTGCAGAGAGTCCCTCAAATTTACAACGTCCATAGGTTTTTTGAGAAGTCCTATTTTATAACCCGCTCGTCGTTTTATAGCCCAATCCAACTAGCGTTTGTCTCTTTATAGGTCCTCAAGGTAGCCCCCTAGCAGAGTAGATTCAGTCGAGGAAAGAAAGGGGGATGAAAGAACAGATTGTGGCAGAGAGACACTATAGCCCAGCTTTGAACCAAATGCAATTAACACAGACAGAATCTCATCCAAACTACTCCCATTCCCGGTTTTAAACAAGGGGCTTGAACTTACTCGGGTCTAATTCTGGCTTCTCGTCTTTATGCTTCCCGGAAGCCAAAAGCTCGGTCTCGGGAGAAGGGATGTTTGGTTGTGTCTTTTCTCGGATGTCAGCGGTGGTGCAGTATATATAATCCGTGTAGGTTCGTTCGTTGGAGGGGAGGCAGTCACTGGCTCGATGCTCATGGAAGGCGTCGGGACTTCAGCCCATAGTGCCTGGCGTTGGCCGGGTAGCCTGGGAAGGACATGGCCCCCGAGATCGGCTCCAGCCATGACCGCACATACCTTGAGTCCGTTCCTAGATGAGGTTGATGGCTGTATGGATGGTAAACCACTGAGGACTGGGAGTGAACAGGGGTCCAAGATGTAGTAAAAACGGATGGTTTAGCAGCAAAGCTGCAGGAGGGATAGTCACCACACTCCGGTACGAGGGACGTCGGACGAGGGCAGGTAGGGTGCGAACCAGAAGCCGAGAATCGAGCCGCAAGAACATCCTCGCTTTCGTGGTTTATCAAGGAATCTACATAATAATTACTTATGGGAACCGTGGCCGACATGTCGATGCTGCCCGTCTCTTTTACATGCATCCGATTATTATTTGGAGTGTATGTGTACTTTTCTATCCACCCATAGAACAATCAAGGCAGGTAATTATTTCTCAAAGCTTTCCGGGCTGCTATTGGCTGCCGAAGCAGCACGTGATTAAATTTACCCCCACCAAAATTGCACAGTGGATCAATGCGCGAGTTATCATGGGATAGCGTTGCACTAGAAATTGATTATAGAATCATATTCAGATGTATTTTTTCCCCTGGATGCATAAGAGGTAAATTCAACAGTATATTCTGACGTTGATCAAATAGCAGCAAAATGAGTAGAATATGTCAAACTAGTCGTAAAACAGATTGGGGTTGGCTAGGTATGAAATCGCAGGCACTATTTGTCTAAGGTCTCCGTAGTCCAGTTTTATGCGCGTATAGACATAGTTCAGTAGTAAAATAGATCATTAAACTCACTCTCTAACACATTAGGCTTTTAATTCTTCTGCGTTTTTCATTGTATAACGGTATATATCTTTTTATATGGAGAAAAGATACTTGATTTTATTTTATGAGCAGCCTGCATAAATAATATTGTACAGCCTATCATACTAACATTGCACCAAAAAGTGTGTACAAGAAAAAAGTTTGCACAGATTACAAATAAGCAGAATTGGCATATTTTTTCTCCCAAATTAAGTCTGGATAGATAGAGGAGGATGGAATTACTACTACGTTGCTTGAAACTTTGCCAACTACAGCGGCTATATTCGGCAAGTGTCAGTGCATGCTTTTATGTCCTTCAATAAATTTTTACGAGGACCATTTGATTGTTCATAAACGTGTCGTTAATAAAACTGCAGTCGAGTTCCTAGCTTAACATAAAACCAACACTGGGCATGTGAGGCCAGTCCCATCAAGCTGGGACAGTGAGGACAGACAGCAACGACAGGGACTGAGGGACTTATATGCTGCAGAGGAGAGGAGGTATTTGTTCAAGGAATAATCAGGCTAGAGATGAAGGATTGCAACAAGAGGAATACACTTTCTTGTTTTGTAAGACTAATATGATATAAACTGATCTATGATCCGAGAATAAGCCTTTTTGTTGTCATATATGCCTAGAGAAGAAGTCAGCGAATATTCTAATAGCGCAGCTAAACATAATCAAATGAAATAAAATTGTATTGGTCGCCTACACATATTTTGCTGATGTTATCGCAGGTGCAGCGAAATGCTTCTGTTAATAATAATATGCCATTTAGCAGACGCTTTTATCCAAAGCGACTTACAGTCATGCGTGCATACATTTTTGTGTATGGGTGGTCCCGGGGATCGAACCCACTACCCTGGCGTTACAAGCGCCGTGCTCTATCAGCTGAGCTACAGAGGACCGCTGTTACAGTGCAGTAATACCTAACAAAAGGAAATGTGCATGTGTGTATTTCCTCATCTCAACCATGTATAGGCCTATCTAAAAATCGAATCAAATGTAAAATCAAATGTTATTTGTCACATGCTTCGTAAACAACAGGTTTAGTATTTCACAAACAGTGAAATACTTACTTAAGGGTCATTTTCCAACCATGCAGAGTTAAAGATAAAAATGCAGATTAACTGCAATTCAGATTAACTGCAATAACGACGATGGACTGTATCTTATTTTGTAATTTGACAACTGCTAGTGTGAAGTCATTGCGTTGGTGACCTACAAGATTAAGGGAGGTCATTCGTTTTTGCTTTAAACTGAATAAATGTATGCAAGCTTAGACATCTCAAAATGTGATTATTTAATTATCTCACTAACTAACGCATAATTTGAATTTCCTTCAAATTAAACATATATATGCTGTACGGCATCCTTAGATTTCGAAGTGTATTTCTCTGTCGTGGCTGTTTGGTTCAGATTCAACCATGAAATATCATCAATACGATGCAACTAAATATCAAGACAGGCAAATAGAAAGTATTTTGCTCAAATGAAATAGCACAAACCTTGAGCTCGCTAACGTTGAGTATTTTCTCGTACGCAGTTACCATTCAGGCCCAATGAGAGCACAAGCCTATTTTAACCCTAGGGGTTTCCCTTGATATCAAACCCATGAAATCCTAAATATTGCGTATCTATTATAGCCAACGTGATTTTTCACTAAAAGTCTAAAATACATCTATCTACCTGTCATACTGTATTTCAAATTACATTCATTTATTTAAAGGGATACTTCGGGATTTTGACAATGAGGCCCTTTATATACTTCTCCAGAGTCAGATGAACTCGTGGATACCACTTTTATGTCTCTGTGTCCAGTATGAAGTAAGTTAAGGGGTAGTTTCTCAAGACAATGCTAACTAGCGTTAGCGCAATGACTGGAAGTCTATGGGTATCTGCTCGCATGATAGTAGATACCCATAGACTATATGCACGTATGTCTAAGACACAGAGCAGTTTGAGTCTTGTTTAGTATTGTTAGCCACATATGAAATTAATCTACCAATATTCGTCTTGGAATTGCTTATTGAATGGGACATTCATATGACAAATGTGATTATATCAGGAGACAAATACTAATTTGTGCATGGTTAATCCCTTATTTTTGTCATTACTCTGCTGTCTTGTTATTGATATTTGAATGTATTTATTGTCCTAATGATTATTGATAATAAAAGAAAAGATCCAATGTATGTATCCTGGTTTTTCATAACATTTTGTGGTTGACTAGGCTCATTTCCTTTTCTGTTATTGACCATACTTTGAATTCTCTGATAACTTCAGGTTACTAGTCTATTAGTGTGTTGGCTATGTCATGACAGCTATTGTTATGATGCTATATGTAGGCATATTGATAGAATAAGCTATGCCATGATGCAACTCCTGATTGGAAAGCCTAATATAGGATTACTGTTCATTCATTCGCTTCAAATTATTTTAACATTCTATCTTCTTACAGTGATTTTATTATGATACGCTAGAGCAAGCCATATGCTGTGTGTATGCTGTCCGACCGAAATGCGCTCTTTCACACGTCACCATGATCCTTTCTATTTATAATTTGTTCTGGTTAAATGATAAGAGTCTAACTTAATAGCCTAATTTTCGATATTTTCTCCATAGCCTACTTTAGCATCCCTAACAACGTTATTCTATAAAATTCAACATATTTTGTACATTTATCTTGGATGTTCAATATCAGGAAATACTATGAAATTATGGTTTAACACTGACTGTCAATTTGTGGTTTGATATTTGTCTAGAGCAATGGCATTGGAATGAATTGTCCAAACATGGTGAATTAGTTAGGGCGAGGGCTGCAGGAGATGAAAGGGTGCAGACTGTCACCGTAGACAACAATGGCGTCCAAAGGTGCTGTCCTCTCAGTGGAGGGGTCAGACTGCAATATATTGTTAGCAGTCGGATTCCCAATTCTTCATTCAGAAATGCTACAAGAGATGCATATTTTTTGCACATGCATGTTTCGGTCAATCAATAACTTGTCCGAAGGTAATGTTTAGCTAGTATGTCCAAAATAAAAATAAAAATAAAGTCCCTTTCAGCATTGTTAGTAGGCCTACTTTGCGCACTAATATGTTTAAATGTGTATCAAAATAATCAGAATCCATAGAACCATGTTTAATTTGAAATGTGATTAGATATAGGCCTACTCCTAAATAATTTGGCAAGTTTTCAACGTCTTATGTAAGATTACATGGATCAAGGTAATTGTTGGAAACTATGATGGAAAATGTGTGGAGCTAAAATAATTTACAAATCAGCAGAATTGTAAACTGGCAAACAAAAATTTGACTGTTGAATCATAATTTTTCCATTGAATTTGTCAATTCTAGATTTGATCTGAACCTTGCATCCATCTCACATAACCCATTAAGAATATTCCGAATGAGTTGTGCAAATATCGCATTACAAACAGTGATCAGTGTATTTACGTGCATTCCTACGTGAAGGAACTTCAAGTAAATACTTGTTTTCATTGCCTATATGATACATATATTTGAACAAGGGACATGTTGTTGTACTGTCAAAGGCTAATTTGAATAGTCAAATTAATAGGCCTATACAGTACATAATTTGCATGTTAAACTCTTACCCTCAAACCTTTATGTTGAATCAAAAAGGTGTCTATTTGGAAACTATTCATACAACATATTGTTATTCTGATAAATAACAGAAACGTAATACCGTCCAAAAAACATTCGCCTACAGTAAGTACATGGTTTAGGCCACTTGGAAAACAAGTGTTTTAATTAATAATTTTAAGTGCTATCCTCTGGGTCCACATTGTACATTCCGTTGTACATGTCTTTTACCCAAATCAATTCAAGTCAATTCAAGGCAACAGCTAATTTAGGGAAATTAAGGATGAGGTAGGTCTATGAGTTCCCCAAAAGCTTCAAATAGCACGATAATCGTTAAGTGCATCAAGATCTGTCGTAAGTTTACGAGTTTTTCCTTTTCCTGAAGCCCTTCATGACTAAAGGTTTATAAAGCGTTACAACACAGCACTTAATTTCATTGGTTAATTAACAATAAACCCAACCACTAGTAGAACAGCCAAGTGCTTATTTCCATGGCAGATCACAGAAGATAGACAGAATGAAAGTTTAAAGGCCCAGTGCACTCAAAAACGTGGTTTTCCTGTGTTTTATGTTTCCACACTATGAGGTTGGAATAATACTGTGAAATTGTGACAATTGTGATAATGGCCTTTTAGTGTAAGAGCTGTTTGAAAAGACCACCTGAAATGTCAGTCTTTTTTGGTGGGATGGAGTTGTGGCCTTCCATGGTGACATCACCATGCATAAATGAGTTAAAAGCAATAAGAAAGAGAGTTCCAAACCTCTCTGCCAATAAGAGCACATTTTCAGTTTTCCTCTCCCCACTCAGACTACTCCTAGACAGTCCCAGCAAAATTCTTGCTTGAGAAATTGCTCTTTGCTAAGAAGCTATTTTTGTTTCTTTTTGACCATTTTAATTTAAACAATCACAGTAAGGAACTAAATTGCTACCCAGAAATGATTTGATATTGAGATAAAAACGGCTGCATTGGAACTTTAAGGGCCTTTACGCCATAACATAATGACATTGCTCATCCTAATATTAATATATTTCTTAATGCCATTATTTTACTTTTAGATGTGTGTGTATTGTTGTGAATTGTTAGATATACTGCACTGTTAGATCTAGATACACAAGCATTTCGCTACACCCGCAATATCATCTGCTAGATATGTGTATGGACCAATACATATGATTTGATTTGATAACAAACTAGCACATTCTGAAGAGAGATGTAGCTGGTTACTGAGGTCTAGATAGATCATTTTTACTGCCCAAAGTGATGCACTTTGAATGCAAGCATTGTGGAGTTCATTATTATAAATGTTGTGATGTTCATAAATTATATATTTTACAAACTGCTAAATATTAAAAATATTTCATTTTTTTCTGATGTAATCAATGTGCTTGCACTGCGTGCCTAGTTGTAGTTTAAGGAAGGGGTTTCGATTGATCTATATTGCAAATGAACATTTTACACAGACATAGGCCTAATTTAACCTTTTACTGCAGTGGGCTATATTAGGGTCACACAGAGTGTTTCTTGGCTGTCTTAAACAAATCTACTTTGAAATAAAAGTATACACCTCACACACATGGCTATGGGCTTAAAAAAGAAGAAGAAACCTGTACCATGTCAGATATAGAGTTGAAATGTATTCAATATGAGTTTGCACCCCAATATTACACTTCAAATACATCACAGAAGACTGAAATATAACAAAACCGTTTGACATAGAAATACCAGATTTTCGGCGGCTTTTTAAAAATAATGGTTGCTTTTTAAATAATGTTTATTAATTATAAAATTATGAAAATTATTGCCCTGTAGTGCTGGATAGTGTATTAACTCCTCATTACTCTGATACTAAACGACAATTCAGAAAATGAACAACGCATGGACGCATGGACACACACACACACACACACACACACACACACACACAGTAGACTACTTGCCATTTGTGCATGTAGGCCCACGGCAAGTGCTTGAATCCGGCATGAGATACCTCTGGGTATGCCTATTCTGATAGCAGTAATCATGCACACATTTTGTTTCACCATCACACAACTATCAGTGCTAGCAGCTCTTGCGCGACAGTTTCATGATGATCCAGCCTTATATCAGCCAGCATTAGGCCTACACATACCCAGACACCCGGATGGTTGTGACAATGAGTTAGCCTTTATTAATAGTAAACAACTAGTACTTCCCTAGCCGCTCACATACAGAGATACAGACCTACTGGACTGTAAAGACTTGAGTTATATGACAAATGCATCCAATAGCCTAGCTATTCCCTTATTTTCTTCTTCCGTGCGCCACCTGTTTCAGAATGTCAAATGGGTTGTTCAAATGCCATTGTGCAGTTTCTGACAGCATACTATTTGCTATTGCAATTGCTATTAATATGAGAAAGGATGACTTGTCTACAAAAGAGGCAAAATTATATTATCCATGTAATGTGATCCTTTATTTTTTAAAAGTGGTTACATGTTCGTGCGTAATTGCTGTGCGTAACTGTGCACTAGTGAGTAATTGTACACTAGTACGAATTACGCAACGTCTCAGTGTGTAAGCAATGTGTGTTTCCTGTGGGTGCCATTTGGAGTGCTGTAAAGTCTTTGTCAGTGATGCATTCCAGGGGGAGACGCCTATTCACTAAACTGAATGAAAATGACTTTGGATTCCAGACTGTCTCTGCTAGTTGCACTTACTGCTGTGAGGAGGAAGGGGGGGGGGGGGGGGGGTATAAACACAAGCTCTCCCATGGAAGAGAGGGGACTTTGACTGTGCCATATGAAAAAACGTTGTTGGCTGAACATGAAATAATTTAAACATGAAATAATTTTGTTGTGTAGTATGAATACAACATACATGTTTCTCGGCCACGTCTTGTCATTTGGGTCATGTGAGAATAATAACATAACAATTGCAAAATACAATTTGCCCATAAATGCACAAATGAAATAGGAACAGGACATAATACATAAATAAATATTATGTAATATATCCAGCGTATTTGATCTATACCCCATTCCTTTCCATTGAATGAACATTTTGAAAATGATTAGATTTTTTTTATTATTCCTCACTTCTTCCTCTAGTGGCATTATAGTCTAAGTCCAGTCTAGGACCTAGATTCGTTTCTTGGATCAGAATACGTTGTCATTTGAGAAAGTTGAGGAAACGGAAACAATCAAAGGATTGAGTCATTTCCCCTTGATTTGAACAGGTTGCAAATGCGTTATAGGTCCCCTGTAACTCAGTTGGTAGAGCGTGGCGCTTGCAACTCCAGGGTTGTGGGTTCGTTTCCCACAGGGGGGCAGTATGAAAATGTATGCACTCACTAACTGTAAGTCGCTCTGGATAAGAGCGTCTGCTAAATGACGTAAATGTAAAACCACGGGGATATTCAAAGTTCCATTCAGTTAGCCCAATCACACACACAGTGCCACAATCAGAAAAATACTGGACTATGTGTAACAAAAAACGTAAATACAGAAGAAGATTGAACAGCCCACATGAATACAACAGACATTATCTCCAGCTTTAAGATCAATAACATTGTACACATTTTAGGGAAAATAAAACTAAATTCTGTCAACATTTGGCAATGTAGCTAGCTGGCCTAATATCCATGTGATCTTCAGATTGCGGCTGAACAAGATTAGCCTATGAAGGATATTCCCATCACATCATGGTCCAGAAACCAAAACCCAACCAAAACCAAAATCAGGGGCAACCTAACCAAAAAACAGTAACAAAATGAAAAGGCAACAATAGCGGTCTAACGTCTACCCCATGTTGTTTACAACCCATTCTCCATCTGAGAAGCTAAAGGACTTTTTACAGCCCGCCACAAACATGAGAGCCGGGGAGAAAAAGTCTCCATCCCGGCTATTTCATTTATAATGCCATTTGCGATGACTTCAGTCAGAGCCTAGGGTGTAATTTAACGGAAAGTGTCGCCCTTGATGAAGACGAACTGACGTAATCAAGGCAGTTTCTTGTTGCGGAGCCAGGAAGCATACCCCAACAACATGAAACTACCTAAACCACGCTTCAGCTGCGCGAGACGTGGTGTTCCACCGGGAAGGGAAACAAAACAAACAGCAAAACATTCAAAGCCAAGTAAGAATTTTATTGTCTGTCTACAATAACATAGCTGTTACCTGAATTATATTCTTGTCACTCTCATGCTATCCTAAATAGGCTTATCGTGTAAAATATTGAGCAAATTAGGACATTAAAACAGCTTATAATAATATTACATGGTGTCTAAAAAGGCTCAACTAATAAACAGGAAAGCTCTTTAGACATAATATCTCATAAACTGTTCTAACGTCTCCAGAAATCGCAACCGTGTAGACATAATAGACAAGACCAGTAGCAACAATAACAAGAGCTGTCAAACCAGCGCCATTGGCAGACCAACCGGCAGACATAGGCTATTCATCTCCAAATCACAGCAGAATAAATATATATTTGTGTCCTACCTTGAATTTCCTCACACACTGTCGTCGTGGTCCTCATTTATTCATGATGTCCTTGTTGTCGTTGTTATTGTTGTTGTTTATCATCCATCCGTTTCCTTTATTGCTGAGATAACCGTGCAGTATCCTCAATAGAAGTCTGCAGCCTGCCTCCATAGCAGAGGGAGCCCGTCGAGCGCGTTCGTTCCATCCAGTAGGCATAGCAGACCCTCTCCACTGTGTAGAATAGCCTATCCATCCTCTCCTCCACACACCTTTAAACTATGCAGCTTAACTGCAGCAGCCAGCTAGCACATTATATTTGCAGATCATAAAATCCACCCCTAGCTCGTGCTTCTATCACGAGACGATCCTGACGTTAGAATTTTATGACCTTGACTTAATGTGCTCACCTGGATAATATTTTAATCAACGTATTAAAACGGCCATGATCTTCCCAATCTCTCTTATCCGCAGCCTCTCTCTCCTTCCCTCTCTTTCTCTCTCTCTCTCTCTCTCTCTCTCTCTCTCTCTCTCTCTCTCTCTCTCTTAACAGAGTGCCAAATGGATAATAAGGGGAAGGACAAACTATATTTTATATAGGAATAATCAACGGGACTAATATGACGCGAGCAACAATGTGGATGCAAAAAGTACAGTGCACGAGTAGCCTATCACACATAGCAAAAGCACAAAAAAAAATTAAGACAACAAGATTAAGCTAGGGAGTAAGGGGACATTCCTCAAGAACAAACAAAACAAAGTCTGTTTTCATTTCAGCAGTTCTAAGCTGCTTAAGTGTTGGTGTTCATTACAGGCCTTCACTTTTATTTTTGCTTTATATGACAAGGGCAACGGCACCACTATTTAATGTTCATGTGTTGAAAGGCGAACTCAATTGCTGAAGTCCTTCCTTCATAAAGTCATATACTCTTGGGCATCGTTGAAATATTGTCCTTGTATGATGGAACACTGTGTGTGTGTGTGTGTGTGTGTGTGTGTGTGTGTGTGTGTGTGTGTGTGTGTGTGTGTAAATGGAAGGGTTTTATAGATAATATCATATCAGGTGAAGTTGTAGGCCGCCATAAGATGATCCCGACCACGACTTTCACTATTGAGTTTCTTGAGCTTCATCCTTCGGTTCTGGAACCAGATCTTGACCTGTCTATCGGTCAGATCGATACTCTTACTGATCTCCAGGCGGCGCTCGCGAGACAGATACATGTTAAACAAGAACTCCTTTTCCAGCTCGAGTGTCTGATGCTTTGTGTACGGACATCTCTTCTTCCGTCCACTTTTGGCTTTTAACCAGTTTCCTGGAGCATTTTCCAATGTAAAATCATCTGTAGATATAAAAACATGGAAAAAGTGAGCATAGGCCTACTGAAGGTCTACTTCCATGTTCAAGACAGACTATATCAGGCCTACTGCATTCCAATTGGTCTGGGTCAGGTCTGCACTGCCGCATTGCAATGTCTTGACTGTCTCTGCCAATCTTTATCTGAAATACACATTCAAGTTCTTGAGCTTGAATCAAATGTCAATGCTCTATAAATACATGGGTTCAATAAGCATCTATTTTTGTCGACTTTCTTGGAACGCTTTGAACGAAAATGCCTATTCATTTTGAAGGGATTCTACAGTGTCTGTCCCTGTGCTATAGGCTTACAGGCTTTGAGGCTATAGGGGTACTATACAAGCACAGCCATCATATAGCTTATTTGGTTTGAGGCTATACGGACACTCAAAATAGATTGGAAATAGTTTAATAATTAATTACGCAAATTCCATTTTGCAGGGTACACGGATAACATGTTTGGTTAGTCCTACGCTCCCATTGCCTTAAAAATGTCCAACAGTTTGAAACGATTGATTAAATGAATTCAAACAAGAGGAGAATATAAGAAGGGTATATCTGAATTATCAATGGTCTTATTTCGCTCCTAAAAGACGATCCAAAGGAAATAATATAGGCATATTGTTTCGATAATATCAAATGGTAGGCTACATTGTGGCGGTTTAGCCTATAAATAGCGCTACTGCAAGATGTGTAGCCGAGACTGTTTCGCTACTGCAAGATGTGTAGCCGAGACTGTTTATAATACAAACGATGGATATTTTTAAAACAGTGCAGCAGCATAAATTAACTAAAAGTTGTTTTCATTCAAGTTAGCTTACTTTTTTGGGGGGGTCAACTGGAATTGTAGGGGGACTATAATGCTGGTTGTATCTTAATAGTTGTTTGGTTGAATCTTAGTTGTATAATAATAATAATAATAATAATAATAATAATAATAATAATAATAATAATAATAATAATAATAATAATACATTGAACATTCGTTAATAATATATATATTCACCATTTTTATTTCCTTGTATAGGTTATCTATCCACCATAATAATTAAAATGCCGTTTAAGCTTTTTTCTCAATCAAAGAACTCAAGTAAGGAGTGTAGTATTAACTATCCATCTTTATGGATGTTATTTCCGTCTAAAAAGTATATCGTAGGCCTACACTGTTTTACCGAACACAGTCATTATGGAAATTGAGGCGTGTGTGTGTTTGTGTGTGTGTGTGTGTGTGTGTGTGTGTGTGTGTGTGTGTGTGTGTGTGTGTGTGTGTCTGTCTGTTTGTCTGTCTGTCTGGTCTATCTGTTTTACGGTGCACGCGCGTTATGCGTGTGTGAGCTTGTTTATTCCAATGATAACTGCCCATCTCACGTTCGCACATAAATAGAAAGGTGATAAATGCCGTCGCCACAGTAACCCCTGCTAGGCCAGACCGTTAAATACCTGTTCAGAATGTCTCCGATATATAACATAGCGTAGATATACAGTAGCAAACTAACAATATAAAAACGCACACACTGAATGACATGCTTAGCTGATGCATGCAGATGAGATTTTTGTATGCTCTTTGCCGCAGGCTTTATTGTAGGATTTTAAGTACATTGCACTGTCTGTGTGTATGTGTGTGTGTGTGTGTGTTGAAGAGAGAGGGAGGTAGAGAGAGAGAGAGAGAGAGAGAGAGAGAGAGAGAGAGAGAGAGAGAGAGAGAGAGAGAGAGAGAGAGAGAGAGAGAGAGAGAGAGAGAGAGTGGGGGGGGGGGGGGCGGCGGCTTTTTGGATTACCTTTCAATTCGTCAGAGTGTTCAGAACAACTGTCAGTCTTTGCACTCTCTTCTTTCTTGCGCTTTCGCTGTTCATCCTCTTCGATGCCCATTTCCTCGCTAACTTTCTCCTGGGTAGATTCTCTTGGTGATTCAACAGATGTCGTCACCGGATCCAAAGAAGCAAAGCCTGTCCCGAACTGCTCCCCTCGCTGTCCCCTGCTCTCTCCGGGGTATACCCCTCTTACTCCTCCATAACATTCGGACGCCTCCGAGACAGCGGTTTGGTCCGTCTGACTGCTGCTATTGTTCCCAAGCCGAATGTAAGTAGCCGACTCTGTAGTGTCCGTATTAGCCCTGCTGCTACTGTCACCCTGATACAGACAACAGAACGCCTCCTCTTTGACGTTGTCAGTTGGAAACGAACACGGTTGGAAACTGGACTGGGCAACAGGTTGCTCGTCACTGTTAGTTTTAGAAGCTGAGGTCCAAGTGCCCAGTTGGGATGACAGGTAAAGCGCATCTTGGTAGGAGCGGAGAGGGTGGCTACTCGGAGGAACCTCGTCTTTTTTGGAGAGGGGCGATCCAACTACTCCAAAATGTCTCATCATTGAGCATCCATACTCAGATGCAGCCGTGTGGATGTACATTCCTGGGTTGCTGCTGGAGTAGCCCTCGCCTCTATAGGAAGATGATGATCCTCCCATCAAAGAATCCACCAGGAAATGACCGGCAGCCATGTTATCCTGGCATGACATTATTTGTATTGTTGGTGTTGTTGGTGTCTTTTGTGTTCCTGTGGTAACGGTTTTTCTCGAGGAGAATAAGGACAGTAGGACACTGACAACTTTTGGGAGCCAAAAATATCAGCAACATAATTATGGATTCTTGGAGCGCAATGTCATGTGATTTTCAGACCAATAGCCGTGTAGAAGTGGCCTTGATGCTCCAGACTAAGGTGACGTCAGCGCGGTCAAGTTGTTAAGCAAAGGGACTCTTGCACGGTGCAAGGGTGCCATCTAGCGGAGAGATTTAGGAAAAGAAAGCCACGGGAGGAAGGACAAAGGGGGTAGAGAAAATATTTTGCAATCAGTTATAGCCGAAATGAAATATTGTTCAATATGTAATCGTTAAGATAGGCTAACATAAAACAAGACAGCGCAAATAATTCGATAAATATGATTATTTATTGGAAGTCGCTGCAATGCCACTATAGGAAAGCTTTTTCGTTTTGGTATTCGTCAATACATTGAGATAATCCAATGGACGTACATTTTATTAGCACCACTCTCGGGTAGGCCTAGGCTTGTTAGGCAAACTGATTTTCATAAAAGGTAGACTTTGCAATAACCTAACCTATACAATCAAATCACTGTAGCTACTCGTTGTGGCACCAGCAGTTGCATACGAACGTTTGTTCGATTCAAATCTATTAAAAATTTTAACCAATGTGAGTATTCCAAAGTATGTTTTTGTCTTTAATTATTTTAGCAGCCCTGTTTTTCTAGAGCATTTTACGGTAGGGCTATTCCTTTCATTTATAGTCCTAGTAGTCCTAGTAACACCTAGGCCTATGTATTGTTGTTTTTTGAAGGCTACACCAGTGTTGATGTTTTTTTGTTTTGTTTTTATCACCAAAAGCTAGAACATTAAATTAGATCTATGATGCATCTACAATTTATCATGAGCCTATAAAGAATGGGTGGTGCCAAAATATTTTTCTTTACGTTCAAAATTATATGAAGGATTATTATATTATATCTGGTCCTTTCTTTTCCACTCCAACTCGTTTGTAATTCGTGCCTAATATCTAATTCATTTAAATGCAGGCATGATTTCAAATTGAGGGAGAAAAATATAAATTTACGCCACGTGTAAATGTTTATTGAAGAGAAAATTATTAGCCATTTTTTAGACAAATATCAAGTGTAATTCCATGTGTCCATTTAGACAAGTAAGCAGACATTTATGTGTAGGTTTTTTAATTTAGTACTAATTGAATCTTTGACTCAGACATATGTTGTTACATATATAATATATACTATAGTTTATATACATTATTAGAAAAAAAAGTTCTGGATAGAACCAAAATGGGTTCTATGCTTGCTTCATATATGGCACCCCTTAAGGTTCTATATAGAACCGAAATTGGTTCCATATATTATCCTACATGGAACCCAAGCGTTCGATTTTGAACCAATGTTGGTTCAATGAAGAAGAACCAACCCCTGGGATTCTCAACAAAGAACCCTACAAAAGGGTTCTATATAGAACCTTTAGGGATGCCATATATGAAGCAAGCAATAGAACACTTTTTGGTTCTATCCAGAACCTTTTTTTTCTAAGGGTGTAGGGTACATACTATAGTTTCCCCATGAAAATAACGTTCTAGCATTTAAAACGTTGCATAATGAAAATCTTGTTTTCCAGTAAGGACTCTAGTTCATGTTTTCTGACATTGATAAACCAAGGCGAAAATATCATTTTATTTTTCAATGTATCATTTTTGTATGCCTATTCACATATTGTTTTGAAGTTAAAATATCAGAGGACGAGTAAAAAAAAAATCTATATGCAGGACGGTTTAACATGTTCATACATTATTGTGTTTCCCTATTTTGAAATACCTTCACAGTGTTAGTCAACACCAGAATCCAAAAGATGCGCATAGTTTTTTCAGCCGAAGGCCTATGAAAATGCTTATCCATAAGGCGTATGTCTAGTGTTTTTGTTGTTTTTATACTCAAATATATATGCTCAACACGATTGATATTCCGATTACTAAGGTAATACAATGACATCGACAAACAGGTTTAGCAACTACTGCCAAAACAATGCAGGGCCCCTTTAAGGCGCGTGTTATTATTGCTGCTATGCCGCTTTATAATGAAAGGGGCAATCCAACCTATTTTTTTCATTTCATTTCATCACGAGAAATGATAAGTAAGAATTATCAGACTTGCTCGTCTTGTATTTTAAACTGATGCAAAAATGTACGAATGGTTACTAGGCCTATATCTCACTTGAATTGGAACAGAGAAGGAAACGTCTCCGTGAACTTCGAGGTTGTTTAAGTCTAGCCCATAGGCCCACAACTCATTCTGTTCCTTGAGTTAAATTCAGACAACATCAGAACAATTTGAGTTGAATAGCAAAAAGTAAAAACGAGCCGGATGAAAAAGGTATAAGCATATTGACAATTAGAGACGCTTTGATTAATTTCGAAGCAAATAACTAATAGTCTAACTAATAGCCTAACAGCAATTCATGTAAATTATTAATGTTTATGTGTATTGAATGGTGTGATGCCAAGGTCATTTTCACAACAACAACAAAAATAGCTAAATGCTATGGCCTATTTCAAATAGGAAGATTAGGCTAATACATATAGGCTATGGAGAATGCAGGGATTTCTGTACCAACCTCTAAAAGCTAGAAGTAATGCCAGACTGTTTTGAATGGTGTCCTCACATGTCCATCATTTCATCATCTTGTTAGAAATGGAATCCAGGGCTCTATTCAATCAGATCCGCTTTAGCCAACATCTGCATAGGTTGTTTTGGCGGTGTCCGATGTGAAAGTGCGGTAGAGCTGTCAAATCCACAAGCTGCTCCTGGCATTATTCCTAACGCAGACATTGCCATTGGCTATATGGAGTCACATTAAAAGATGTCCAGCAACCAACAATTCCATGCAGCCATGTTTACAAGTTGGAACACTGGAATGTGAGATGTAATCTACACCTCCATTAAGATGATAGAAATCCTCATTATTTCATTTAATGATTTTCAATTTGAGCATCATTATTTCTATATAGCCTACACTTTCTCAATCTGAACTTTTAATGTGGGTGTGGCTCCGTGACAATGATCACAAGAGCAGCTGCTCACCGATTTGACAGCTCCAACGCAGTTGGACCAAAACCACCAAAACATCTGCTATGCCGGTGTCTGCTATCACCGGTTAATGCTTGATCTGATTGAATCTAGGCCTCACAGTCTTCCATTCTAAAGGAATTTGAGGACAAATTTTGTAAACCTATACGATATTTTGTATTAATATGTCTGAGAATATGTTAACAATATCTAACAATGACATTTACGATAAAAATTATGTTTTTGTCCATGCATGCTCTTCAATGGCATGTAGCCTGTAGGCTGAACGCTAGTTTTTAGTGTCTTGATTTTGTTCTGAACATTACCCACACATAAGCAACTACAGGTAGAACAATGTTACATTTTTAGAGTACGTTTAGTGCACCAACATAGTATAATTGTACCTACGTACGGAATAAAAGGGATATCATGTTTATTATCTTACAATTTCCATTATCACCACTTTTCTTGTTTTCACAACATACATGGAACCTGAGGTATGGCTATAGAGATATAGGACTCATCTTTGTATCTGTGCCATTATAGCACCTGTGACAGCATGGGCAGCGCCATTGAGGCTATCTCCATTTTGAAGTAGTCCATTTTCTTCTTCACTATTGTCTTATCCGTCCTGATAACACAGTTGGACATGACGTCAACAGGGAGCCCATGCTGATATGGCCTTTTGGCCACTAGAGGCCTCTATGGGTATGGCATTCAATTATATTCTATACAATTAAAAGTATTCTCAAATGGGTTTTTATTGTTTTGTGATAGAGATATAATGTTAAATGCTGCTGTAATGTCACATTTAGAAGGCTATTAAGTTGGCAAATGAAACCAGCACCCTGAAATCATGATATTTATATGTGTAATACCCCCATGTCATAACCTTGAGTGAAAATGCAGAATGCGTGTGTGTGAGTGTACCTTTCTCTATCTACTTCAAAATGTGATGTTTGAGAAACATCGATGAAGGTCTAATTCTGACGTGAGACTATGAGAGCTACTCTGCGATCTCTCTCTCTCTGTGTGTGTGTGTGTGTGTGTATGCCCGCTTACTAGTCATATTATCTAAATTAAGATAAGGATGAATTCTGTAATTGGCCTACATTGAAGATTCAGACCCCATTACATTATTCCCGGAGACGCAGATACCTTTCACGGGTCATTCGTGGTTTGAATAGGTAGGTTAAAACCTCACCTTGAATCTGGGTCATTCCATAATATGAATGTGAACTGTATTTATCATAATATTTCTCACAAAATAGTAATTGGTCAATAAACAATGTCTTTGTTCAGTTTTCCTCCATTTTAAAGGCTATAAGCCCAATAATAAAACGTATCGTCATGATCTGAATATGTTTTACTACATGTGAATCACTATACCTGTGTAGGCTATGTGTGCCTATTTGCCCCTGTTTTTAATGGGAGGGCTATGTGTGTTTGAGGGGGTGAATTGTGTCGATTGGAGTGCTTAGAATGTGTATTTGTCAGTGAAATAAACTGACATATTAATGCCTAGGTGTGAATGTTTTTTGTGTATTTTTTTCTTTTCTTTTGAATGTTATTTTGTGCACATATGGATGTTTTACGCACATTTGTATAGGCCTACTTACGCGCAGAAACACACACACGCACACACACGTAGGAAATGTTTAATTTGCTATACCGTTTTGCCTTCAACGCAAATATATTTACCATCATGCCGACTAGGGAAACAGACAGGCTACACACAGTCAGGATGACGCATAGGCCGTCCATCCGCTTGCCATGTTGAGCATATAGAGACGGAGAGACGCCAAAACTAGTTTGCCTTGTAGGCCACCATGAAATATCTTTCCAATTTGATGTAACGAGGTTATGCTCCTTGCAAGCAGACGCCCACACCCTGTGAATGTGTGAATGTATGGTTGGGGCATGTAGCTTCTTAAAGACAATTATAAATCAAAGGTGGTAATCGGAAAGCACACAACGATATTATATTACATTCCAATATGGTCACAACCACACAAGGGACCGCAGGTTAGTTTCTTCGACGTAGGCTACAGTATATCTACAGCTTTGGGCTTTCATCACATCTAGAGGGAAGGCAAGGCGCCTATGTACGTATAGGCGCATGTACACTGGAAATCACTATGGCGAGAACTCATTGCAAAACAAATATAAAATTGCAATTTATATCCAAATGAGTGCTGGGCCTTTTACATTTTTTATGTAATCTATTTTTGGTTGCAAGCACCCGTTCATTTGTTTATGCAAGAGGATATATGTTGAGTACGTTATCCCCCTTCACCTAAGTGGCGAGTGGTCTAAGGCACTGCATCTCAGTGCTTGAGGCGTCACTACAGACCCCCTGGTTCTATTCCAGGCTGTATCACAACCGGCCGTGATTGGGAGTCCCATAGGGCGGCACACAATTGGCCCAGCGTCGTCCGGGTTTGGCCGGTGTAGGCCGTCATTGTAAATAAGAATTTGTTCTTAACTGACTTGCCTAGTTAAATAAAGGTAAAATAAAAAATTAAATAAAATAAAAACTCATTGCAGAATTATTTTCTAAATCTAGGCCTATGACAAGCTACTCTCGGAGGAACTTGATAGCGCGGGCTTGTGCTTTCAAAACACTGCATTCCTATTATAAACCACGTTCACGAACTAATTTGGGATGCACTGGTATTATTATACAGACTTTTACATAAAACGTCTATGGAAAACAATAGCATCATACATTTGATAACCATCGCGTGTGAGACAAGGCTCCTGTGTAATGTGGAGGTAGGCCCATCATGGTAGAACATTATTTCTTGAACATTCCCCTTTAATCTGGCAAACACAAAAGTCCTGACATAGCAGCTGACTAAAATGTGGAGAAAATGATTGAGCACAAACATAATTTCAAGCAATCCAGCATTAATTACAACGACACGTAATTTAGACAATTTATTTATCCTTCTCAACTGAAAATATGTTAGGACAAGATAAAGGAATGTTAAAAACATCAAAGAAATGAAATAGGCCTTCAGTACTCACAAAACACATAAACCATAACAATGACACATACATGGAGTCAAAAACACATACATTCTAATTATTTGAGCGGTGCGTAAAATGCCATTCAATCCATTCAAATAACCGTTAGCCACTATCACTTCAAAAAGAGTCATCAAAGATCTCGCTATTTGTTGGGTTAGTTCCTTTTCAACGTAATTGAATCACCAGCCATGTATTTGCTCTCACGAAATGCTATTCTTCAGGCCGTCTCATTGGATTCGTCTGTGACAGACCCGCCATTTTCCTTCCTAATAGCCAAGCGCGCAACCGGATCAGCTCAACTGAACCAACCACCCGCTGCATTGTATCCTCTCTCTCTTGTCATCTCTCAGGATCAATCACGATTACCACATTAAAACTATAAGACAACCAAAACAAAATAAAATGTAATTCAATATGGAAGATCCCATCTAGGCCTACACATGACGTATGAATAAAAGCATCCATCAAAAGAATAACTTGATGTTTCCAGTGTCCTATAACTTTATAAAGCCTATTGAAGGAAAGGAAACAAAACATTGCTCTCCCATTGTGCGACCAACACATTCCGGGGTGAATTCTGGCCCCCTGTGGTTGATAGGCAGCAGTTTGAGAGGCTCCAGCCTCTGCAGTTAGAGGACGGTGACGATGTGTGGCAAAGAAATCCAACAAATTACCAACGTCATCGTCCCAGGGCCAAGGTTGGTGGGTGTGACAAGAGAAGTCTTCTAGCCTTGATCTCTCCCTGCTAGCATCTCCCTCCTCCTCCCCTGTCACAACCAACATCCCCCTCTTCCGCCTTCAGCTTCAGTCTGGAGGGAGACTGTGTAGTGTGTAACATAGAACAAACACACACACACAAAGAGAGAGAGAGAGAGAGATAATATAATATAATGGAATTCTGCATCCTTCTCAAAGAAGAACATAACCCAAATGCATTATCTATACATTATTTTCCATAAGAAACGGTGGAAATATAAGTAAGTATTAAAGCTCATGCCAACATGTTATAAAACTTCTCATGCCTGAAAACGTATACATTTTACAGGGACAATAAAGTGTATTTACTGGGCGTGCTAAAGCTGGCAAAGTTACCTGCTGTAGTTTAATGGCAGGGGTCAAAGTTGGACTCTCTACACATTCCTTTTTCCGTTCCCACTCACTCCCATTGGTCGATTCCCCTCCTGCACACATTTCCAGGCTAAAGGTGCTCCTTGATTCCACTTTATTGCAGCGGGTTAGAGGTGAAGGCCTTGACATTATTGAAGTTCAAAGACTACTTTTAATTATAAATTGTAGTTAATACACACACGTGCAATCTTCCATACACATATGCTCTGTGAGCACGCGGGCGCAGGCACGTAGGCCTACCCACACACACAAAATCTATCAAATCAGTCACACACCAGTAATGTCCTCGATATTTATAGATGTGCACATACACCTACCACCTTTGACCTGGAATTCCAAGATCTAATTTTAGGGGTCCCTTTTTATCAGAAATGTCTGTCATATGGCTAAAGTGTGTGTGTGTGTGTGTGTGTGTGTGTGTGTTTGTGTGTCTTATGTGCAGTCTTATGTGCACAACACGGGCCTGAGGTTACGTTGAACAGTCTAGTTGGCAAGTTTTTTTGTTCCGACAGCCAGTCTTACTTGTTTACTATTTACTGCGGAAGTGAACACCGTTCCCTCCGAACAGACGGCGCAATTAAGATTTTAAAAAAATGGCCATTTAGTGCCTTTGTCTTTATGGCAGTGTCTAGACTGCAAGAGTGGCGATTCCATTTAGTGGGCACTAAAGGAGGATCCCGTACCTCTTTCTTTCTCTGCGTTTCTGAAGTGTAGCCTAGTTTGCGTGTTGTTGTTTCTGTGTAACTCCGTGTATGCTTGCAAAAGCTCAAATTTGCACTCCTATATGAATGTACCCCTCAACAGTCCCACAACACACTCCCTTAACGTCTTTGTCAGAAAATGTTTGCGTAAAAGGGAAGGCCTATTCCTAGATGACAAGTGTGGCTTAAAACGAAGTTGCTATACATAAATACCCCACTAACAAAATAACCATTCAGGTTAGAAACCCCACTCAAATCCCTTGAAAATGACCATCAGATAGGCCTAATAGTTAAAAAATAAAATCTAAGACACAAATGCAGTCAGATTGTTTTGGCAATACTTGTTCAACCATTGGCTACCAGTCTTAATCAATTCCCTTTGAAAATGACCATCAGATAGCCATGGTTAATAATAAAATCTATGACAAAATCCACCAGAGTCTGTTTGTTGTCTATACGTCTGTTTATTTCATAGTTATCTTTATATGAATGATACACAGGCCCAGCGCCATATTTTCCTCCTCCTCTTTCATAGCAAAACACCGAGCATAAAGCAAATAAATTAAAGGAGTGTTAACATTAAAGCTTTTAAAGTACACAGATTGCTTGGGCGGTGTAAAGAAAATAGCAGCACGGAAAGGGGGAGAGAAATTACAAATAAAATCATATTTACAGTCACGACTGCACATAGTTGCATAGTCTGTACAAGGAAAACATATTACAGATTGTACACGTCACAGTTCTCAATGGCAAAAATGAAGCCTGTAAATACTATTTTGTGTTCAATAGTCTAGTCTAAAAGAGAATTGTGGTTTCATGGTAGGCTACACATAGGCGATACATATACCTATACAACGACCAGAGGAAAGTGAAAAGTGAAAATATCCAATACAGGCCTATCATTGCTTCCAAATTGTGTTGTAGCAGTTAATATTCAACAAATAATACTTGTGAAATGCACAAGTAAATAACCAGAATTAAGATTTTTGGTAAATACAGGGAAATTGATATGAACTACAGCATATCAATGATTATTATATCACCTGTTGGCCTATATCTGAAATATAAATTATTCTGTGCACGAAGGCTACAGGAAAATGGCGGCTCATTACGCATACATAGAGAAACCCCACATGTTGGAAATAGAAATAACCTCATCAAAACATTTAGTTGCTCAACATTGCTGCAGAGCTGGGCTCTTTTTGTAACTTCAACTTTGTTTATTACTGGTGATAAGAATTCACTGAGAAAAGAGTGTCATTGACCTTTGACTGTAATCATTAGGCCTATGATTTTACACTCCTCACATGCTCACAATAGGGGGTTTCCAGAAAAATATTGCAAACGATCTCTGCTTAATTTCTTTTCTTTCATTCTTCGATTCTGAAACCAGATTTTAACCTGTCGGTCGGTGAGGTTCAGCATCCGGGAAAGCTGCAGCCGTTTCTCTTTATTGATGTAAACGTTAAAGAAGAACTCCCGCTCCAATTCTCGAATCTGAAATTTGGAGTATGGACACCTCTTCTTCCTCGTGCGAGGAATACCTAGGGCAATCAAACAGGAAGGACATGATCAGCGAAAGTTTCAAGGAATAGTTTGTCATTCACGCACAGATATTCACATTAAGTTAAAGTAGCCTAACTCACACATATTCACATCAACATAAAGTATGTAGCCTCTTTCCGTGAATACACTACTCAGGAATTTCTAGAAGCATCAATTTAATGGTACCAATTCTGTCAACATTGCACGTAACACATCAAATAAATCAGCCATAAAGACTGTTAAATTATCCCACGCACTCAAACTGCAAAGAATATCAATTTACAGCCTCTAAGTAAGTATGTATGTATGTGTCTAAATATGTGTTAATCTCTTACAATAACAAAATGTATAGGGCTGCAGTTTGCGGGACATTCCCATGGAATTCAACTATAAATGTGCACACTCCTTTATTCATGGTCGTTTGAAATGCAGATGTTTATATTAGATGTGAATCCTCTTGTAAAGCTAAAATGGCTCTCAAATCTGAGCCACACTACATCACAGTGGTGGTCAAAACCTCATGAAAAAGATCAAGTACAACGACATAAAACATCTCTACAGTTATGCCCTGATTGTGCAACATTAGGCTACAGACGCCTGTGTGTGTGTTTGTATCAATCATTGCAGATTCAGGCATAGATATATCAGGGCTAACCGAATGGAAAGGGCTCTCAGTTCATACTGAGCACAATTTACGCATACCTTAATTCATAACTAAATGCAATACACATAGATGTAGCATTGATGCTAACACAAATGTAGCTATATAGAATACATTTGGACAGAATGTGTTTTCATACTCAGTGTTGGAGAAGCTACTTTGAAAATATAGTTTACCTAGCTATCAATTAATTCACACTGGAAGAAGTTAAGCTACAATAAAGCTACCCTTAAGAAACATATAGTTTACCTTAACTGAAGTAACTTTGAAAAAGTAGTTTACTACATACTACATTGGATACTTCGTGAAAAATCATCATCTTTAAATCTGACTACAAATTGCAAGAACAGGTCACTCTGGATGTAGATGTTAACATAATGTGTAATTTAGCTCATTAAACCCAAAAACTATGTTTCAAGTGAGAATCAGGCCGTCTGATGCCGAAAAATAAAGTAAATTATTTCCTACTTTACCCATATTTTATTTTTGCAAAAAAAAGTAGTGTGTAGTTCCAGTAGTTAGCTACCCCGCTACATGGCAGAAAAGTAATTAACTACTGAAAACAATACCAATGTTTTAATTTATTTCAACGACCACCAAGCTACAGCAAATGTTTATTAAATTATTACTAGTTGAACTAGCCTACGTGTAGTTCACTACTCCCCAACACTGTTCATACTGCGGTACAGAGCTTGAATTGCAGACACAAGCATGGTCCAGATATGGACACAAACACATACCCGAGTCTCTACGACTGATTCAATTTGTCTCCAGATACATATAAATAGCCTAGATGGATACTTATGGAGCCTGTCAGATGGTCAATAGCTGAATTAAGAATACTATTTCGCCTCCAAGTGTACAAGGCTAATTATCTCCCAACATCTTTTAGTAGGGTTAGTTTGCATGCAAGCTGCTAAAAGAAAATTCACAAGACGCCAAAAGCAATGTTCTGCCCAATTGGTTTTTACTCACGACAGACCAACGAGAAAATCCCTTAAAATGCCCAACGCAAGTTCATGATCAAAGTTAGCATTTGTCACAATAGCGCGCTCTTAAAATTTCACAGACTCTTAGATAGAAGCGTCTGTGTATAACATGCTTTTTTTCCAAAGCACTTTACCATCGTAAAAAGTATTCTCGTTGTAAGAAAGAGCTTTGTAGGTTATAATAAAATCCTTTGAATACTTATAAAACTCCACATAAAATCTGACCGACAAAACACTGGGCTAGTCCCTTAACCTTTCCCCATTTACAGCTTCGGTACCTACTCGAGTGGCTGTTCTTGCTGGCGCTGACGTCCTTGGTGGCTGAAGAAGTACACGAGCCCGAATGTGTATGTTCCTCCTCATCCTCTGGGTCCTTGTCCTGGTCTGGGACGCCCAGTAGAGCCGCTGGCTGCTGGGACTCTGTTTCCAGTTTACTAGCCTCGCTCTTATGTAAACAATTATCTGCTGACTGATTGTCCGTGCTGCAGTATGCTGTCTCAAAAAAGCGGTCGAAACCTTGAGGGAGGACGTTGTTTTTCCCCACGCCGGGGTAGAACCCTGTGGAGGAATGGTTGGAGCTGGGATGGTGGTGGTGGTGGTGGTGACTGTACACACTCTCGTTCGTTTTCATTAGCATTTCTGTCATGGTGGATGGCGGAAGACAGTCCCTGTGCACCAGATCCTCTCCAGAGTAGCATGATGCATAATTGCTTCTATGGTGCCATTTACTAGAAGGGTCCAATCCATAGGAAACTTCCCGTACCGGCTGCACTTGAGGCAGATTTGAAGAATATGGGTAGGTTATCTGCCGCGACGAGGCCTGTGGAAGAAACGAAGAGACGGCGGAAAATTCGGGGACGTAGTAGGTGCAGCTGGGGAGGTAGATGTTTGAGGCGCAGCCCGTTCTGTCCCCAAACTCGGATGTCCGGTCTTTGCGCGTCTGGGAGCAAAAGTTTCCCAGATTCACCGAGTTAAACATCTTTCCCCCAGTACTCCGTACTATAGATAGATGTTTAGGATTCGAACTGCAGAAGGGGAAAATTTAGGAAGGCGAGATGACGCGCAATCCGTCTAAGTCTCCCAAGACACGTGATCGAAGGTAGATATTGTCATATATCAATTTGGAACACTTGGATGTGTAGTAGTTCACTTAGGTAAGATCTAGGAGGTTCAAACGATTCATTTTCTAAACACCACAGGAGCACTAAGAAAACCAGTAACATATTCCTGTTTGTTGGCTTAGGTTATGGCAATTATAAAGAGAAGCTTGAGTAGGAGGCTATTTATGTATAGGAGTGGGCTAGGCTAGCATAGTTTAGCATGTGCTATAGCAGACTAAATTTGATTTTGAATTATACAGGTAAGACCTTAATATTATTATGAATATTATTACTACTACTACCATAGCATAGCATATTACATGTTGTATATTGTGCAATAGCATATAGCCTACTGATAGACAGCAGAATTTGATCATTTACTCTCACACATTGTAATGAATGACTAAACACTAGCAACTGTACTGACAAAGTGTACCGAGATCACTGCGAAGTTAAAACAAATCCATGCTTTATAATGAGACCAAGACTCCAAGACCACACTCGAAGCACCCCAGTTTTGGAAAAGTGTGTTTTCACACATAGCCTAGCAGGCTTTATGCTATTATAGGTAAATGTCTATCGTCAATCTATGACTAACCTCTCTGAAACTGCTCATGAAGGCAATGATTGTGAGTGAGTGTTTTTGATTGAAATAGATGTTGTCTTGCTTAAGATATTGCAGTTTTGAAACGTGGGGTATTATTAATCTAAACCACTTTAATAGCATACATTTACATTTTGAAACAGCCACTAACAGACTAACATTTCCCTATAAGGAAAAACCCCATTTAAAATCACTGTTCAAAATAAGCATTTTTGAATACGCATTTGGCTACATTCCCGTGTTTCAGGGACATGTTTCTATATAAGTTTTTCCCCCGGATTGTATTTTATTTTATCAAGGCCTGGCCTTGATGGAAGCCTATATCTTTGGTGTTGTCTCAAAATACATGTGAACTAAACGAGAATAAAACAAGGAAACACAACATAACGTGTAGGGTACTTTAGTTCGACAAAATCACTAATTTTCTTCATTAATTTCCTTTCTCTTGGATAATGTTAGAGCTGGAGGAGAATAGCCGAGAAACTCAAGACCAAGGTTCCAGGCTGAACGTGGAGAAGAGAAGAGCACAAGCGAAGCTTAACCCCGTGTAGCTCAGTTGGTAGAGCATGGCGCTTGCAACGCCAGGGTTGTGGGTTCGTTTCCCACGGGAGCCAGTATGAAAATGTATGCACTCACTAACTGTAAGTCGCTCTGGATAAGAGCGTCTGCTAAATGACTAAAATGTAAATGTAACCTTGGTCGACGACGGCTGTCAAAACAGCTGTAATCCACCATCCGCAGAGTATAGAATAATCTTAACTTTGAATTGCAGAAAATAATAGTGTTTTGGAAAATGATAGTCTACTCGAGGGGTGGCCGCGCTATATTTAATCTAATGCGTCGAAATAGTCTACAGGAGGCCATTTCTTTTGTTTTGTACTTGGCTAGAGGGCCTATTTCTGCTTAGGCCCTACTGTCTCACTGGGCAACAAATGAATCGATTTGTCATAGAATACTTTCACTCTGACAGCTGTAGAAAAATAAGAAATCGATTACTATATGTATATCTTTAGGACTACATCGTGTGACTGCTGTACATAGATGCCCGATTAAATGCGCATTGCTTTCCGGAGAGAACAAAACATATATAGTTATTGATTCATTTTATTAGTGCTCCCAGACAGGTTATTACCTTCAAAATATACTTAACGGCTGGAATCCCCATCACAAACTTGGCTAGACCATGTGGTCAAATAGAGGCATGTATGATATTTAAATCCTGTAATAAATTGCATTTATTCAAAAAAAATCCTCCGAATGCGATTTCTCTTATGTGTGAAACTTTCACTGTCGTTGAATCACGTGAACTATACTGGCCAATCATCAGTACAAAGTACAACTATTATCATTGTATTGATTATGATAAATATCATGAACTTCCTCTGTTCCAAAATATGTTTTCTGAAGGGTAATCTGTATGCAAATTATATAATTGTAGGCCATGAGTAGGCTACGAATATCGGCTCATTTTGGTAGTCGCCTTAAAGCACATTTTCGGAAGAAAAACCCACGCCACATCTGATGTTCCATTTAAACCATCGGAAAAAAATCAAACTATAATAAGTAGGCCTAGGTATTTTGAAGAGAGGTATGTGGAAGTGGCATTGACATATGTTTGTTTACAGACCCCTTTCAGAAGATAAAAGGTTGAAGTACACGATGACTGCATCCAAGTACAAAGAAAGCAGACAGCTGCCCAGACACAGCACTTGAATTTGACCACTAAAATCCTCTACGTGCCTAACCATAAAACGCCTAATGGCTGTAAGAAAAAGCTAAATCCCTTTGTTCTATAGAACACAATAAAGTGAGAGGGAAAGTAAGGAGTTGAAAATTAGTGAACACTCTAATAAGTTCTACCCCACACATATGAAGTAGTCTAACCATGCAGACATACTGTCGTTTTGGATTCTATGTGAAAACACAAATGGACAATTCCACGTCACACCACAAGGGTTTAAAGCATTTTTCGAAAATAGCTTATGTTGGACAAATGTTACTTAGCTATTAGTTAGTCTGGCTATGTATAGCCTAGTGCGCAGTGTGTCAATTCCCTCTCGTTCGGGCTTGTAGCGCCTAATACTGTAGCCTAATAGAACATGGTGAAAGTTCGGAGCCTATAATGACATTCAAAGACTTTGCCTACCATATTGGGAAACCATTGGAATATCATGAGGCATGACCATAAACTATATGGATATAATTCAGGCCCTGACAGAAGTATATTGCAATATATAGGCCTATTTAATTATTCAGGTTTAGACAATCCATAAACGCACACAAAGAAGCGATTGCTCGACTCTCAAATGCATAGGCCTAAAGCTACCATCCAGTTTTTGAAAGGCTCAGTATTCATATTTTGCAAGGGATTCTTATCTTGGATAATTAATATCACAAATCATGATTGGATTATAATAGCGCTTTTTGCCCAAGGCGCTTTGCATTATTTAGGAGAAGCCCGCCTCAAGAATACTTTGAATTGGGAACTTCATACATTGCAAAAAGTAAACTAGTCGAAAACATAATAATAAACCCTTCGTATTGATAGGTTGCAGAAAATGTACTGTCGTTGTACTGTTGAGTCATTTCAAGAATGGCACTAATTCTCCAAAGCCAATAACAACATTTACTGTAAACGAAGCCTCAATATAGAATAATTAATTATTAGTTCCTTTGTGGAATTCATTATCGTCTACAGCAAGACAACAACAACCAAAGTACATAGTAGTCTTCATGTAGTAGCCTTCATGTAGTGCATAACCTTGCCAGATATTCTCCAGCTCAGAGAGCCCTAACAACAGCGTTTTTCTGCATGTGCTCTAATTTATTTGCACAATGATTCTGAGAAGGAGAATCAAGTTATGGCCTATACTGAAAGGCCCAATCGCTGAAACAGGGATATACCTATATACTAGTCGTGTGCAATTACAAACAGAGATGCCAAAACATTGTCTGTGGTATTACATAAATGACATGCACACAACACTTCCGTTTTAAAATCTGGACACAAACTAGTAAGGAAAATGAACGCCGTGCGTAATCTTCCTTCGAAGACCTACAGTAAAACTATTAATGTCTTACCGGGCTGAGGCTCTAAGGCCATCATTCAGGGGATGAGGTTTACCATGTGTTTATTCTTCTTGGATTTAAGTATGAAAAATGTATGCACTCACTAACTGTAAGTCGCTCTGGATAAGAGCGTCTGCTAAATGACAAAAAATATATATATATGAAGTCACAGCTAGTCTGTAATATTCCACCCACAGTAGAACCCTGGCGGTGGATAGCTGGTGCGCCATTTCTCGAAATAAGGACCCACTGTTAACAGACGTCAATTCAACTTCTACTCCACGTTGAGTCAACGCAATTTCAATGAAATGACGTGGAAACAACGTTGATTCAACCAGTGTGTGCACAGTGGGAAGGGTTTCCTTCACTAATGTGTTTGACTAACCAAAGTCCCTGACGAATATGTCTACCACACGCAGCGAGTATGATTATAAAATGTTCGAAAATACAGGTTGAGGCTTCAACGTAATAGCCACACATGGCTTTTCGAGTCCTGAGAATTTCCTCGAAGAAGGAGGTGTTTGCTTAAACATCACTGTTCGAGAGCACAAGCTTTCACGACTGTGTCTGAGGAATCTATGCAAAATATTTCTACCTCGCACCATAATTACAATGGTAGCCTAAATCTAAGAGCAGCCTAAATGTTTTTTAGAACCCAGAGAACTATCTGGACAAAAATAAACACTAAAACATTACATGGAAATAAGTTGCATGTGTACTCATAAGTCGTAGGCTATTCTGTTTAGCCTATGATCGATAGCATGACTATTGTGTGGTCTGGTTTATAGCCTAAAAGCATCATGGACTATTCATATTCCTTAGCTTTTGGGGAACAGACAATGCTGTCAATAATTTAATCATCCATATTTTTGCTTCTGTGCTCCAGACGCAGACCTTGTCTCGTCACCACCACGCACCAAGAAGGAAGGAACGCGCAGTTATCCTGTTGAGAGGCGCACCGCCGGCCCTGCGCGCCTCATATCAAAGCGGTCTGAACCAGGGCTAAATGTGGGAAGCGTGTGTAATCATGTTACTGTCCCCTCATGGCCTAGATACATTTAATTGGACGTAAGTCAAGCTGTTAAACTTGGTTGTATGAGCTGCGAAGAGTTTCAAGCACAACAAGAAAGGCCCTTATTTTTACTGAGGTCTCAGTGAACGCACCTAGCTTTAAAGCGTTTGCACTGGGAACCAGTAGGTTACAAG